TCCTTACAAACCACTTATTAAATAAATAAAAAAAAAAAAAAAAAAAAAGGACCTTCCAAAATATAAGAATCCCTAATCTATGTACCATGACCATCAAAACGGCTCCCGAACAAACAAGATATAAAAGTAGAACACAAGCCTACGAATATATTACAAAAATTCTTCAACAAGATGAAGGCAAAGGTCCCTATGACCGACAAAAGCAGCGTAATTTACCAAATACATACCATGTGCAATAGTGTTTACAAACTAAAAACGAGAAAGAAGTGCTATCTTCGGCACACCGAAGATTTAATACCCTTGCAGACCCAACCTTTTCAAAATGCTCATAGTGCTTTGCCCGTATCTAAGAAGCACAGGGAAAATAGTTAATGCCGAGCTTAGTCAGAATATCTTAAAAAACAAAAAAAATTCCATACAACAGCATAATTTTCGACCGATCGTTCTTATGGCAGCTATATGATATAGTTGTCCGATCTTAATAGGATTTTGAATATATATGGGGAGCGTAGTAAAACTAATAAACACCGAGTTTGGTCAAGATATCTTGAAACACATAAAAATTTTCCATACAAAAACTTAATTTTCGACCGATCTTTCCTATGGCAGCTATATGATATAGTTGCCCGATCTTAATAGAATTTTGCATATATATGGGGAGCTTAGTAAAACTAATAAGTACCGAGTTTGGTCAAGATATCTTGAAAAACATAAAAATTTTCCATATAAAAACTTAATTTTCGACCGATCGTTCCTATGGCAGCTATATGATATAGTAGCCCGATGTGAATAAGATTTTGCATAAGTGGAGGGAGCTTAGTAAAACTAATAAGTACCGAGTTTGGTCAAGATATCTTGAAAAACATAAAAATTTTCCATATAAAAACTTAATTTTCGACCGATCGTTCCTATGGCAGCTATATGATATAGTTGTCCGATCTTAATAGCATTTTGCATATATATGGGGAACGTAGTAAAACTAATAAATACCAAGTTCAGTAAAGATAACTTTATAAACAAAAATGTTTTTCATACAAGAACCTACTTTTCGACCGATCGTTCCTATGGCAGCTATATGATATAGTGGTCCGATCCAGCTGGTTTTGACATATGAACTGCGTGCAACAGAAAGAGGGACTTCTGCAAAGTTTCATAAATATAGCTTTAAAACTGAGAGACTAGTTCGCATAGAAACAGACAGACGGACAGACGGACATGGCTATATCAACTCGGCTGTTGATACTGATCAAGAATATATATACTTTATGGGGTCGGAGATGTCTCCTTCTATGCGTTACACATTTCACGACAAAATTATAATACCCTCTGCAAGGGTATAACAAGGACTAGTCAACATAAATCGGACTTCAAATTAAGACATCAAAATAATATACAGAAAACAGCTCTAACGACCCGCCGTATGAGAAGCAACGTAAACCAGCATCCAAATTTTGATGAAACAACAATCCTACAACCAGAAGAAGGACACAACAACAAATGACACACATTGGAAATGCTACACACAATTAACACACCAAACAACAAACGACTAAACTACAACACAGACACTGAAAATTGCGCCCACTTGTACAGATATCTATTGAACAGCCAAACAGTTTCAGTTTCAATCTCCACGTCAAGAACCGCAGACGTGTAAAATAATGTGTATAAAATGTTCAATTAATTGTTTGACTTAATGTATTCTAATGTTAATTGTTTTTTTTTTTATACCCTTACAGAGGGTATTATAATTTGGTCGTGAAATGTGTAGCGCATTGAAGGAGACATCTCCGACCCCATAAAGTATATATATTCTTGATCAGGATCAACAGCCGACTATATCATATAGCTGCCATAGGAACGATCCGTCGAAAATTGAGTTGTTGTATGAACAACTTTTTTGCTTATCAATATATCTTGACCAAACTCGGCATTAACTATTTTCACTGTGCTCCTTAGATACGGGCAAAGCCCTATGATCACTATGAAAAAGTAGAGTCTGCAAGGGTATTAAATCTTCGGCGTGCCGCAGATAGCTCTTCTTTGTCGTTTTTTTTTTTGTATCTTGTTAGCGCCCTGAAGACGATTTGCCGATGTGCAACCGAAATATATTGGAAGCGAAATTTGTAATTAAATTGTTTTCAACTTTTTATTTTAACAAACCCGGGCCTCGAGCCAGCCAATATGGAAAGGTCGCCAAAAGCAGCGCTAGTTTATTAAAATTTACATTAAAAATTTAAATAAATATGTTATAATCAGAATATTTTAAACTAAAACTGAAATGGCGTTATGGGAATTAATTGTGAAATTCAATTTATTCTAATTCTCGAAAGTAAAAGCAAACAAAATGAAATATTTCATTGCATTCGCTTTATTTTAATTATATGATTTGAATATTGCATATAATTTTAATTATTTATTTACTAACAATTCGCTTTTCCCCAGAGACCGCAATTAGTGCAATAAATGGCATTTCGCCGGATATCTTGGGAATTGCCACGAATCGAGACTGATTTATAGCAAGAACTCAGTCGTGCGCGATATCGCCCATATATAGTATAATGTTAAAAAACAAGTTTCGATTTATTAAACACGTATGTAAATGCTTTCTAAGCTATTTCTTATATATTTCTTATAGCTACCCCACTTTTCCGACAACCTGCTAACAACTAATCGTCTGTCAATTGGCGTCGCTTCCTCTGTCTCCATTGTGTGCAGTTGCTCTTGCTGCATCCCGTTCAGATTCGTTGGACATCTTTGCACTAGCAAAAGCTAAAGCTCCTAACTCGGTTCTACGATCCGCTTTTGCAGCTGCTGCTGTAGCTGCCTTCGAGAGATTCGCATCGTCTTGTGCCTTCCTGGCTGAATGCCTGCTTCGCAGCAGAAGTTTCATAGCTACCAATAAATAATTGAATGGATTCGATCCCGCAATGAGATGACAGTTTTATAGTTAAGACTGCAAATGCATATCTGGCAAGGCCTTAACAATTGTTTAAACAATTATACGCATGCTTCCTGTTCATCTTTTTAACTGCACTCACTTCGCAACATCAGAATGCGTCTTTTTTACTTGTTGTATGGAAGTTCTTTCAACTGGCTCTCCCAGAATGCTCTCAACTCCCGTGCTTTTCAAGGTTACAGCCCCCAGGTGAATAGCGATGAATAAAAACCAAGCAATGTGTGGCTCTGTGTGTGTGCAAATTTCAGTATTCATATATTATTTATTTGCCTTTTTTCGTTTTATTTATTTAATTTTTTGTTCTTACCATATGTTGCCGATTCATCCAGATCTTTTGATTAGTAGTAGTGGTGTTGCCACAAAGAACTTTGAACTTGAAAACTAGTTATTCTGATGTCTATGTTAGATGCAAATATATTGAAATGAATTACAACGACTTGTCACATCTGACGCTTTAAATCCCAACTCAATCTGTAAATGTGCGGCAGTAGCTCTTGATCAGTTCTTATATGGTTGCAGCTACGGGTTAGTTAATAAATGTATCTATATAGCATCTAATCGATTGCTGCATTTGCTTAATTAGAGATAAGCCCCGATGGGCTGCGTCGACTGGAGCACAAGAATTGTCCATATATAGGGGATGCAACTGAAGTTATTCCTGGATCGAGACCCTGGATGGCACTAATTAAGAATAACTCTACGGATAAACCACGTTATTGTATTGGGACTCTAATAACGGATCGTAAGTGACTGGCACAACTTTAAATTGAAAGCTTACTTATTCAATACACATTTTTATATGCAGAATTCGTTTTAACTGCTGCGCATTGTACTTTGTACACTGAGTTGCAAGTAAACCAATTACGGATCTCCCAAATAAGAGATGAAAACAAAAACCTTAAGGTTGGAAAACATTTTCAAAGACAATATGAATTTTTCTTTTTATTTTTACAGAGACTCCAAAGCTGCGACTTACTGGATGGGGCGCTAACGAGCGCGGCGATAGCAGAAATAATATATTGCGTGAGACAGCTGTGGATACTTCTAGCGAAGGTCGGAAAAAATGTATTGAAAATTTGGCATATTCTTAAGACACCCGTCTTCTGCTTTGGCATATCTGGTGCTCCGTTAAGTAGTTCGGTTGAATATTCCGGAACAGAACGATTTGAGCAGTTTGGAATTGTCAATACGGGCCTCAGAGACTGTGTAAAGACTCATGGTGTAAATGTTGCGAACTATTTGTCATGGATAACTAATGTCCTGGCACAGTAATCGCAATATATCGAAATTTCATAAAAGAGAATAACATTATTTTTTATAATACACAATAGAAGGTATATTTTTTTTAAAGAGAGTCAATAACTATTCCAGTTTATAAAGGTATATCATTCCAAGATCGGACATAATTTAACCGAGATATGGCCTTGGACAAAACTTCTGAACTACGGCGAATTTGTATTTTTCAGCCAAATCTGTCACATTCCAGGCCGAACAAAAAATTAAAACCGGTTCCCAGATGACCCATATATCCTTCGTTTTACCATATCATTGATAGAGTCCTGGTGAACCTACTGTTCCAAGTCCGTGTGAAATTCGCTCGGAAATGGTCCAGAAATATGAATGTATGCATTTTTTTCAGCCGCCTCAGCAGCAGCCCCTCCTCCCTCTATGGTTCCCAGATGACCCATATATCCTTGGTTTTACCATACCATTGGTAGAGTCCTGGAAAACCTATAGTTCCAAATCCTTCGGTTTTAATTGTCTGTTCGCCTGGGACGTGGCAGATATGGCTAAAAAAAAAGTAAAAACGGCAACGAAAATATTTTTAAAACTTTAAATGGCAATATCTCGGCCAAATTGAGCGCGTTAAACTCGTGGAGGCCAATAGAATAGAATGGCATCATAGTTTTATAATTTTAGAAAAATGACATTTTTCGAAAAAAACGTGATAACC